AAAAGGCGTGATGTTATGTTATGTGAATTAAGCCATGTGGTGTCATGATGAAAATGCTTAGAAAATTACATTTACAATGATTATTTCTCACTTAATGATGAAGATGTTTGCAGTCAGATTACTTATCTTTTGATGCCAAGATAGGCATGAATACATTTCTATTTTTGCTTAGTCACTATGATAAATTAATGTCTGTAGTGGCTATTCAGAGATTTTTTTTTTAATTTGTTAAATTTTATTATAGGAAGTGTATTCAATTAATAGAAGCGAAGTAAAGATATATAAGATAGAAATAATAGATTATAGTACCTAAGTCCTCCGGAGGTTGTAAGGATTTCCCAGCACTCATAGAACTCATTAAGTTGACACTCTTTCCTATTGCCCAACCCATACCTGCAAGGGCAAGCGCAAATGCTACCATGCTAAAGGGATGCTAAAAGAAAAAGACAAAAGAAATTAGACAACAGAATGAATTAAATTATTCATTTTATTACAGAAATTAATACTAGTAAGGGTGCTTACCGATAATGTTGGATTTGCAGTTAAACTGTAATCCAAAACAACAATACCAATTCCAAAGATTAAACCCACACAAGTACATATCCATATTATGTTTTGACTATCTGAAAGAAAACATGTTTAAATTATCGTAAAACACATTTAATGAAGCCACATTCATGGATAAGAAACCTTAAAAAAAAGTAGTGAATACTAAACGAAACATGTATAACAATGAAGTTACTTATTCTGTATAGAATATAACAGGTTTACATATAAAAAACATACCTTTAATTTTCTTTTTTTGCATATCAGAAATGTTTTTGATGGATTCCATTAGCTTAACATTTTGAGGATCTAATTGTAATGCTCTTGTGTATGATATTATTGCTTCGTCGTAAAGTTCGCTCGCTGCTTCGACCTCAGCACGACGAAAGTAGCCCTGAAAACAAGGTAAGAGATTACTGATGTGGGTTTTATCAACATTGTGGATAATGTGACGTTTATTCTATCTAATATCTAAGTACATCTCAGTTAAAGTAATAATAACTTACCTTCGCCCACTGTGGCTGCAATCTAACGGTTTCATTAGCATCTTGTAGTGAGAGATAATGTTGATCTAACTTCAGAAAAGCAAATGATCTGTTGCTGTATAAGAGATAGTTATTAGGATCCATTTTTATAGCCTGTGTATAATGCAGAACAGCCTCGATATACTTTCCATCCTTTACACATTCATTGCCCTTAACTTTAAGTTCTTCAACACTTAAAGTCTGATTGGTTTTCTTATTTTCCTCCATGGTTTTAATCGTTCAAGGAAAATATTGTTTGGTAAAAAATAATTTATTGCTTATTCTTGATTTTGATAGGTTTAACTGCTATGGTTACAGTTTATCTTACTAATAAAATTATAAAATATTTTCCCGGGAGAACATCCCGAAATCCCGACAAAATGACAATGTCAATTTTAGTAAATTGAATGGTTTTAGTTGAATGTCATTGAACGAATGATTAAATCTTAATTTGACATCTCTGTTCAATGTTACCAATTTAAAAAGAAGTAATCGTAAAAAATAAAAACATTTATTAATAGCATACTCTCTTTTAAACTTAATACTTAACCGGTTGATAGGGCTCCAAAGCAAAGCAGGAAAATAAATAATTATTCCTTCTCACGTAAAAACCGGTGAGAACTTATGTTACATCTTTGTTAACCTCACCTCTAGTCTTAAGTTATGTGTAGACTACCATAGACAGTATTAGAAGTGCAGTGAGTGAATATGTGTGTCAGACTCAGAGGGTGAGATTATGTGTGCTGTGTTGTTATTGTACAGATGTACTAGTACTGCCGACTTTAGTCTATGGTACGCCCGACCCGCCCGGTTACGGCCCGGCTGGCTTGTGATTGTAAAAATATTTTTCTAAATGAAATGAAAGAAAACAAAATGATGGCATGAATTAATTAACAGAGCTGTTTGTAGCAGCTATACTGGTGCTAATAAAACTAAGTGAACAAACATAAACAGAAGAGAGAGGGTAAGCTGTTGGCAGCTTTTTTGGTGCTAATAGATTTTAAACATTTTCCCAATATTAGCATACGAAAACTGTTACATTAATTTTACCGGTTGTCTAATTGTTATTTATTGCGTATTATTATTAGTGGTATACAAAATCCTATATATCTACACGATATCTTTAATAATAGATGATATATGATAATTATATACCTACCTACCCTATGATAGATTTATGCAGTTGCAATGTTATCGATTTTATAATGGTTTTGTATCTTTTTCAGTACCGGCAACGCATTAGAATTTTCTAGAAGCATCGTTTGGATTAAAACATCAGCAAAAATGTCGGCCGTCGTAAATATGATGGACATGCAACAAATTGAGTTTCGTGCTGTTATTAAATTTCTCACAAAACAAGGGAAAGGACCACAGACTATTTTAAGTGAAATGAAAGCCGTCTACGGTGCTCAATGCCCTGGCAAAACCATGATATATAAGTGGTATGGGCTTTTCCAACAGGGTAGAGAGATGATAGAAGACAGACCTCGAGCACTGACCCTGAAACGCCGGCGTGAAGCTTCTCCTGTTTTTGATGATAGCTTTATTGATAGAATACAAAATGAACTTCTAGATGCTGAGGCTGCTGCATGTTGAAAAATACACAACTTCATGTTGTTTTGAAATTATGCCAGCATTCACAAAATCTTTTTATGTAAATAAAGTCACCTCAGCGTGCTGGACTAAGGATAACATTGTGTAGAAACAAAACAGCAATCACTAAACTTTTAGAATTTGGTTGTTTAGTTCTTCAAAGCACATTTTAGATAGTCCTTTGATATGATCTAGAAAGATTAGCCTGAGGTGAAAGTGTTAAATCAGTGCTAGCAGCACAGAATGAGAAAGTCGTTGGATACTATTGATGGAAATAAGAACTTGAGGGATAGAAATTAGATTTTTAACAAAGTTTATTGTATAAGGCTCATTTCACAAGCATGTAAATTCCATTTACTCCTAGATATTATTGTATTGCTGCTCAAAGTATTAGTATTATGATCTCACATTTCACTAAGTTATTACTTTATTTTATATTCACATTAGTATTATATAGTAATATTTTATAAAATCAAACTTGTAATGATCTTAGCACTAATATAACTCTATAAGTGTGTTTACATGTAGTTGTAATACTTTAATATGCAAAACAATGAAATAATTTAATCAACAGTAATACAATTTTATAATAATTGTGTAGTTATAAAACTTGTCAATGCATTATTCTAAAATATTAACTGAATAAAACATAATCAATTCCTTCAATGAGATTTAATGATTGGAGATTCTTTTCAAATTCACCATTTGTCATGTCTAATTTAAAGCATATAAGTAAAGGAGGCTTTGCATCTGCAAAATGAATTACTGGCAATTTGGCCAATACTTTTCTTTCAATAGGGCAGTATAGTTCCACATATTGCCCTATTTTGTTCTTGTCAACATCACAAAATGCCACAACTTTATCTAAGTTTTCTGAATTTAAGGCGCGAACTAATCTTCTGCCAGCTTTTCCTGCATTCCAAACTGTAAAATGATTCCAATTAGGAAAGATATGTTTTTGTAATCTTTCTAGTTGAACTTGCCAAATATTTTCTCTTTTGACAGAAAATGTAGCTGCATTTTCATGGTAGGCATACACTACCAGTTCCTTTTCTACTCTATACAGGTCTCCTCCTGCGTCCAAATGAGCATAGAAAAATATCAGATCTTCTGGTGTTCCACGGCCAGTTTCCACAAACCCACCAACCTTGTCATATACACTTCTATGGCAGAACCATGTTGGCATTAGCAAAGTAGGTCCATTGGATGTGTATATTTGATTCCTGAGCTGCTGGCTGTTAAGATTATTAGCCCACTGAACATAACGTGGAGTTGAGTCTTTAGGTACTCTGAATATTTTACTGCCAATAATTGCATTTGGTCTTGATGTTGCAGCATTCCACTGTAGCTCTATTCTCTCAGATAGCATTATATCATCTATATCTTGAAAACATAAATATTTGCCAGTGCTTATTTTTATGGCACCATTTTTTGCAGCACCCACACCTTTTGAAGTTTTGCTACTCAATGTTACGAAACCAACTCCTTGCCTCTTAAACCATTCCTTCCATTTTTGTAACAGTTCTGGAGTTTTATCTGAACTGCCATCATTATAAACAGCAATTTCAATCTTTACATCAGCTGTTTTCAATATCGTTTGTTCTGCTATAGAATTCATACAACTATCTATCCATTCTTCGCCATTATGTACTGGTATGATTATAGAAATATCAGTCATTATTTTTTAAAGGTGGACATCAATGGGAGTAATGAGCAGATTATTATAAGGTTAGTATTATTTCGTCCTTACGTAGAATTTTGATTTAAACTAAATATAAGTATATGTACTGCTGAAGCAAGTACAAAAAATAAATACATATATCATTCAACAATTAATTAACATTGTTTATTTTTAAAATGCGATAATCAGTCGGGGGCTTGCATAAATGCATAATTGCATACCATCCAATCAAACACTCAATATCAACTGAAATGACGTCTGTCTCATATCTGACAATATCTGTCTGTCTGACAATGACAACTAGATGGACTTGCCAAAGATGAGACGAAAAAGTCGTAAAGTCTGATAATTTATCAAAAAGGGTTTTAATTTTTACTTTCTAACAACTTACAACTTTAAAAATGTGCCAGCTTCTGACGTTGTACTATGTCCCCATAAACTTATTAAACTCTTTGGTACTGTCTGTCCCTTCAGTCAAATGATGACATGACATTCAATGACATTTACTAATTGTCATTTTTCATTTTCAGTCTGCGGTTGGTGTTTCGGATTCGGATTCGGTCCGGAATGACGTTGACGTTGTCTGTACAATACAAAGTTGATGTCGTAATTTTATAATTTAGTCTCGGCATTCAATTAATTCACTCATTTAAATCTATTAATTGTGGAAGTGCATTGTGAAATTTCCTTATAATGGGTATAAAAGAAGCTAATATTTATTTAGATAATCAATGGAACACGTATTACGCTGGTCAAACCATCAATGGAAGAATAGAATATGTGTTTGATAGTCCTAAAAAAGTGCGAGGTATGTTGCTGTGATTATTTTTTATTACAGTCTGTGACTCATGCGTTATAGTAGGAGTATGAGAAATACGCTATGTTGACTATAAGTTACTTCAGTGAACACTTAAGATCTTGTTACAATTATATATAGGTATCCATGTCAAGTTTAAAGGAGAAGCTCACACGGAATGGTGTGAAAGTAGAAATCAAGAAACTTCTGATGGGAAGACAGAATCGACTGATACCATGCACACTGGACATGAGGAGTATTTCCAAGTCTCATACTATTTGCTGGGAAGCAATTCAGGTGATTGTTTAAAAAACTATTCAATATAACATTAACATAGTATCTTGTTAAATAATTTTCAAGATAATCTAGCCAGAGGAATTACTACTTCCTTAATTGCTTACATTTTCTCGGTACTTACTAATAATAAATTAACATCAGACTAATGACACTCTAAGCTAGTAAATATTTACTTAATTAGTAATTAGATTTGATCATCAGATAAGACAGTCATTCAGTTCCAAGTATTTGACACATTTACTAGAACTATCAACACTAACCTCTTTTAAACCTTCTATAAAATTGCTTCATTGCAGTACCATAGAAAAACAAACACAGTCACATTTATTAGTAACTATTATTCACTTGAATGAGTAAATGAGACTGTCTCATTGGCCGAGTGGTCGCAGATGCGAATGCCGGGCAAGGGATCTCGGATTCGATACCCGGGTCGGGCAAATTATTATTATTAGTATAAGTAATAATTTTCAGTAGTAGTATAGATTCTAGAATTGTACCCGGTATATGGCAATAGGCTCACCCCTATTACATGGAACTCATAACATAAATAGAGAAAAGTAGGGGTTACAGTGTACAGTGGCATAAAGTGCGTAATGTGCACCTCTCTACTTATCACTATTGGGATTATAGGCGTGATGGTATGAGTCAATGATGGGTAATAATATTATGAAAAAAATGGGTAATAATTATATTTTCACTTGAAATATAAAGCATTCTATGAACTGTTTACACTTAACCGTTATTTAGATAACCTGGCTCTTAATAACTATCAGATGTTGACTTGTTTGTGTAGTGAAATTATCACAGTGTTAATTACAATGTACTGCAACATTGCAACTATTAAATGAATTAACTTTGAAGTACTTATTTACCTATTGAAATAATGTAATCTGTACCTTATGTCAATACTTATTAAACATTGAATTAATTCTTTATCTATTTTATATAATGTAATGGAATTAAAGCCTCACCATGATGTTTGTTTGTTTTGTGTATCAGTTTTTCAAGTCATACCTATGTTCCTATGTGATTTTCATATCTGGAGATAGGAGGTTGCAAAGTGAGGTAGACTATTTTCTGACAACACACATAATGACTACCTAATATAACATAAATGTTTTGGTATCCTGATAGGTACAGTTGCATATATATATATATCTGTTAATACTATCTCACTAGTCGACTGAAGGTCAATCACTATGTTGTGCATATGTAATAAATACATAATAATAATGTGAATTGCAAAAATAATATTGGTATTTTACCTGCATCTCTAAGTAGGTATTACCTTAAAAACTGTATGAGTAATACATATATGCTGCCTACGCTATAGTAATACATGTAACTTTATAGTAATGAACACGAACATTGTTTCCAATTGAAAAACGTTCTGCACATTAGTGTACATTTTTTCTTACATAATTATGAACCTTCTCTTAACTATAACAATTCGAATTGTCGTTAATTCGTTTTAAATAAACAGCTGAACCTTTTTCGCAATCGGTTTAGCTGTTCTCGAAATTTGCAATTGCCAACACATTTGCGATTCATTTTTATATTAAGTATAGATGAAATGATACGTAATTTTTTGGATACGCAGTATATTTTTAAGTATTAAAGTCAGTAAGTATAGTATACTTTGAGTAGACTGTACCACAGATACAAATGATAATACAGTTTGTCTTATCATTTGATCAGTTTATTATGGGGTCAATCTTCGTGAGCCAGTGATAATTGTTTAATGGAGTATTCGAGGAGATTAAATGAAGTTGAAGGCAATATGTTCATGTTAAAATTGGAACCAACTCAAACTCATACATGGGTACATACTATGAGTCAACCCCAGTTGTATTTTGCTTCCTCTATATACTTACTCATACAAAATTGTTAAGTCTTTGTTTTCCCATTTCCAAGGAATAACACAATTATTCCTTTAATTATATCATTAGCCTCAGTATAAAGTAATTCAGAGACTAAGTTTGTTACCATTACCAACTATTTGTGCTTTATATGAATCTAAGTTTTGTTATGTACAAACAAGCAAGACGATCTATTGCAATATGTTGAATTTCTACGCCATTGTAATAGAGTCGAAAATCTCTTGAAAGAAAGTTGTATTAGTTTAGGCCTTTGCTTACATAGATTAATTTTACAGGAAATGAAATAGAAATCCCAGCTGGTAAGCAGGTGTACAACTTCACTTGTGCCTTACCTCCTGTTTTACCTTCATCCTTCGAGGGTCAATATGGATATGTCAGGTATACCATCAAGGTGACCCTGGACCGGCCCTGGAAGTTCGATCAAGAGACAAAAATGGCTTTTACTGTGATTAATGCATTTGATTTGAATCTCAACCCTTCTTATAAGGTGAGTAAAGACTTAGAAGAACATAACTCTTTCTTTTTCTGTTATTCTATCTACTAAGTCACCCTGCGGATGTGGTCAGACCACCTAGCTGGAGGGCGCCGTACACTACGTTTGCTTAAATGCGGTCTCTGCTTTAAAAAACGTTTACCCCATCGGTTTTCGGTTCTTCGACAAATGTGACCGGCCCACTGCCACTTCAGCTTACAAACAGTTACAGTAATAGCTTTCTGGTAGTGGTTAGAAGGGAAGAGCTGAAAACCGCCTGAGCTCAATGGCGTGCCATTGGAGAGGCCTATGACCAGGAGTGGACGAACATGGGGATATGATGATGATGATCTACTAAAAAAAATATATGTGTCCAATGTTGTGAGGTTATTGTTGAAGTCTTGTCTACTTGGTCTATTATTTAATTTAGAATAACTGCTACTGTAGTCTGTTTAATTTAACTGGAAAAAATCATCTACCTACAAAGACGGCGAGCAGTCAAATGACTGCTCCAAGTTTTTTGATATTTTTATATGTTTAAGTGCTAGAAATGGTACCTATAGTATTAAACATGGTATAATATACTGTTAATTAAGTAATATGTATAGAATTTATATTTTTATCATTTTGTTTACATTACAAAAGCCGCAAAGTGGGTTTTTGCAATTGTCGCATACTTTATGGGTTTTGTATTTGCATTTGTCTATATAATATTTTGGAATTTACTGGATTTTGTGCTGAAGATTGTGAAGTAAAAGATCTAGACTATTCAGGCAAGGATTCAGTTTCAGAGAGTCTTCTTCAATTTATACTTTGCTTCTAAGTTCGCCCCTGAACTTAGTATAAATAGCCTTTGTTTCATGTAATATTCTACATTTTCCTATACCAAATGAAGGAATTGTATATCTGAAAAGTAAAATTATCTAAATTATGTCATATCTTTACTAGGTCTCAAATATGAAAACCACCAGTATTTGCAAAAAGTTTACAAGACGCATCTGTATCAACAGATTCATCGACCTTTGACCACTTAGAGTAGATGCCATCTGAGGTGTATACAAGATACAGTCGATAGTTGTGAAAAGACCTTGATGCTCAGGATCTTCCAAACTCCTTTCACAGCTTTTATCACTACCTCAGCAACAACTACAACCACGAGAACCCGACCTGTCAACGTCTGATAAATTTGCTCGAAGTATCTGGTCTTTCAGGTCACTTCCATCCGTAGAGGATTCGAACTGACAAGTAGTACCACATAATCGTCGTCGCTATCACGTTTTGTATTTTTAGAGTCAAAATCAGACTCATCTTCACAAATATTTTGGAAGTAACAAACATTATTTCATTTTCAAGACTCCAACACGTCGCGACCACAAACTACTTTCAATAATTTCGTAAAAGTTCACAGACACTTGAAATGATACGGTCTCATTTGATAAACAAACTATAAACAATGAATTAGTGTATATAATTTGTGTTCTACCCTCTCATATTACACTTATAAACACTCATTGGTTGTTAGCAGTCAAATGACTGCCGCCGTCTTTGTCGGTAGATCAAGATTTTAAATAATAAATAAAAGAGTTGTGATTTATTTTCATACGTAGTTGCATTTAACTAGTAAAATAAATAAAAGTCACAAAGTCTCAGTTTAAAAACTCAAATAGATTTCAAGTTATTCAACATTTAAAATCAAATTGCGGTCAAATGACTGCTCCCGTCTTTCTAGTGTTATTCTCCACAGACTACAGCCTATTGTCGATTATACATACTTTATTGGAAATCCTTTCCTTGTAATTTTTTATTTAGCTGCATAATCTAATTAACAGTTTAACATTTAAACCGAATTTTATTCATTATAAATAATTTTCCGTTTACATTGTAGGAACCAATTCACATTCAACTAGAGAAGACATTCTGTTGCTTCTGTTGTGCGTCGCCACCTTTGTCAGTTGACGTTCAAGCTCCTGTGTCAGGATATGTGCCTGGTCAGAAGATACCTATAAGAGTGGAAGTAGACAACAAGAGTAATGTCCAACTACATCTGGTTAAGATCTTCTTGAGAAAGGTGAGTGGAAATAACAATATTATTAACCTTCAAGTACTGACGTGGTTTACTCATACCATAAACGGTGACGTGACGTCTATCAAACACCTTAATAATTAATCGAAATGGATTACTTGTATTTACTGATTTGCACAATATTTACTTGTATTCTAATCGGTCCATTATAATTCTATTAAGGAAGTGCAAAAAATACAACGTTCTCGGATGAAATCAGCGGTTTCTGATTCAAATTCTATAAACTTAAAATATAAATATTTCGCATAACTTAAAAAAATATATGTTAAAATCTTAGCTACAATACAATTATTTGGACGTTTTTTTGGAAAATTCTTATATTCGTGAACACGCCGTCTATGAGACACCCACGTCAGTAGTTAAAGGTTAAGATAAATAGATAATAATAACTAAAAATAAGTATTAAGTAGATATACTACTACTTAGCCATTAATTTTTTTTAGGTATAATAAATAGTATGTATACACAAAATTCATTAAACAACTTATGTAAGTATAGTCAAAAAATGAGACAAGAAAACAATTGCGTGTGACCATTGTTTAATAATTATTTTAATGTATACAATTATTTATTGGATAATAGCAAAATCGTAGTAAATTGCCATGTATATATAACTATACCTATTATTATAACTCCGATTAAATGTTTTAAGATAAAGTTAGTGTAATGTTATTTTACAACTTTTCAGTCATTATTTTCAAACAATGTGATTCGTTTTTCAATATATACTTTGGCTCAAGCCAAATATCAATATTTATAGCCGTTTTATCAACCACCTAAACCATCTCTTAACTAAAACTTACTTACTTACTGTACTTTTACATAGCACCTAACTTCTTCTTTGTACTCTTAAGAGTTAGGTACTTATAGCTTTGTGTGAACCAAAATGTCACAAGTGTTTCTACAAGGCAGCAATTTTACACGTCAAATTTTTAAGCGAACTATGACGTCGACATTTCCTTACTGACTAAGGAAAAATGAGGTGAATAGAGTTTGAGCGGCGAAAAGGGACAGAAGAGGGGTGAATCGATACTATGAAGAATTTCCTTATATCTACTCACCCCTCTTCTCTCCCTATTCACCTCTCAATTCCTATTCACCCCATTTTACGGTACTTTAAGAACAAATGCCAAAACAAACTCAGAGGTCCGTCTCTTTTAAACTCCAGACAGTGTAACTTGTCTTAGCTTAGGATTCCTTAACATTTAGGAGGGTTTGGTGAATACGAGAATTAGTCACCAGGCCAGCTTAGGTCACAACTTAGAAGCTGAGGGGGAAAAACATCCATAGGCTTCTCCCGCCTTGGGTTGGCGAGAGGGAGTATCAGAGTTTTAATGACTAAAAACCACCACGTTCCTACTCCTGCTCTTCGAGCCGGAGCCCTGGCAACCCGTTAGGCCTTCCGCGGCTACGTATTGGGCATCAGCCCACAACTTAGAAGCTAATCTTTCTTTTTATTAGACTGTAGTAAATTATTCTGATAGCTGTACACATTTTACAAAAGAGTCTCATTAACTGGTTTGTTCCTGTCAATTATGTGATTAACTTTAATTTATAGTACTTGATTTAAATGCGTTCTCATGAGCTGTGTGGCATTGAATCTTGACTATTATACTTATCCTTAATTGTTTGTTATATACCTATTTTAACTTCATAATTACCAATTGCTGGTTTTAAAATATGGTTGTTCAGAGTCCAGAATAAGTTGTTCTATAATTTCTCGTATATATAATATGGGTTTTAAGTGTGGGAGAAGGAGAACCATGCTTCTGCACGAATAGGCCGCTACGACCGGAGTTACACAGAAAACAGACGTTAAACGCTTGCGTTGTGTTTCGTCGTGCGAGTGAGATTACCGGAGACCCAATTACCTCCCTCCCACTTCCCCAATCTCCCCAATCCCTGAAACCCCAACAATCCTAATTCCTAATCCCCAAAAGGGTGGTATCGCACTTGTAACTTCTCTGGTATTCCAGGTGTCCATGTGCGAAGCCGATTACTTACCATCATGTGATCAGTCTCCTCAATTACCGCCTTAATCCATAAAAAATACCAAAATAATATTGAAATGTTCAAAGATTTTGAACCCGCTACTTAATCCGTAAGTGATGATAACATCACTCATATCCGTATGGTTTTTGAATCTCCCAATTTTATCGAATGAGGGTTTTCGGTCGATTCTGCGCTCTCGAGGAGACATTAATGAGAAGTACCTAGCTAAGGTTTATTAGCCAAATAACCATTACAAGCGATTATTCTAATTGTTAATAGACCGTAAACTACGCCTTCCCCTCTAGTGTTACACAGAAGTTATTAACATAAAATTAAGATGTTTTACTTTTTTTAATATTTTTAGGTGGTAACATACAGAGCTACATCACCTACAAATCAAACGAAGAAGATCAAAGATGTAGTGCTAACTATACAAGAAGGGCCAGCGCCTGCGGGAACGACGAAGAGTTGGGACTTGACTATGGAAGTACCGCCGATACCTCCGTCCGATCTAGTCAACTGTAACATCATTGATTTAGATTACGATTTCAAGGTAAGATGTATTGAATTACTTCATATTACCAAGCTCCCATTCTAATATTAAGATTAGGAGAATAAGTACCTTTGTCTTAGTCATTATCTGTGCGATGTGAAGGACACGTAAATAACCGTAGACTATTAATAAAAAAAAATGAAACGGTGCCCTGCACTAGAATTTTCTCCTTTGTCGTGGGTGCGTTTACAAACATACAAGTTCACATACACATGACACCCAGTGTCGGAACAACAACTTGTGGATCATACAGAGTTACGTGCGGGAATCGAACCCGCGACACGTTACGCGGCAGTCGGCTGCCTAGCCACCACACAAAACGTGCCTTTGTTTTATAATTATTTTGTGTTTTGAACCCAATAAAATATATTTTATTAGTTCATATTTCACGAAAAAAACTGAGAATTTTTTTGTTATCCCAGACTACGATCTATCTCTATGCCTTTAATTCAGATCTGTTCAGTAGTTTTTGCTTAGTGCTTAAAAGAATACCAAACGTACCTACATACATTCTCACAAACTGTCGCATTTACAATATAAGTACGACTTTCAAATGAGCATTGTTATCGCAGCGACGAAAGTAACGCCCGCAGTGTACGGAAATAGACGTGGTGCAATTTCATACCAATAAGAGCTTTAATGTTACTAAAATAAGGCCCATTACAAAACGAAATGTGATAGTAGTGAATTATAAAAGAATGCAAATATTTTACATTTGATGCAATAAAATGTGTTTATGTGATTTTTACGTATCTAATTATGTTATGCAGGTTACTAAATTGTCTTAGAATGATCTAGAATATTTATTATCTTGGTTTTCCTATTGTTCGAGCGGTTGCCATTGCGACTGCAGCATTAAATGTGTTTATGGCACGCTATGTAGAATTTCCAGTATCTATTCGGTGGTATAATGTTATCTAATACAGTCGTAGCCAAGATGTATTGTCATCAATCGCTTGAATTTACAAAAAAAAAATTTTTTTTCCCCTCTGGCCATTATTCCTCTGGCCTAAGGGTCACACATAGGTAGGATAGTACATATGTACAGAACATATCTATTAAACGTAACACTTACTTTTTGCTGTTTATATTATGAGTTGTAATAGAGGGTGATCTTTTTGCCATACATCAAGCTCCATAGCCATGCTCCATTCCATATTCCATTCTTAAATCTAAATAAAACTCATAATTCTGCTTAGCACTTACGACCACTCTATCAACAATACAGTCCGAAAGAAAGAAAAACTTTATTTTACACGCTAAAATAGGTGACACATACTGATTTTACACATAAGTTTACTAATATCTACTAATGTCCCGAGTCTGCGGTGAAATGGGACCAGTTCAGCATGTGCAAGACAGGGCCTCGCGCTGGTATTCTACTGGCCCCTTAAGTGACTGTACAAAATCTACTACAAATTCAATAAAATAATCATATTTTAAAATTACTCTATAATCAAAGCAGAGTAAAGTGACCGAGTTAATGACATAGCCCGTCCACCATATTAATTTCATTGCCATAGTATCTCCCAAGGTAACTCCATTATGTAATAGCAGACTGGCTTATCTAGCCAGTTTTTTGTATATGATCTCACGATGATGTCATACTCGAACTCAAACAGAATTCACACGAAATTTTCGAACGTGTGAATAAAATTGGATATGCTAATCAATGGTTTGATGAATGAAAAATATTTTATATTGTCTGTTCCTTGAAGTGGACCCGCGTTTTGTTTTTAACAATTTTGTCACATTGTAGTGTTTGGTTATATTCTAGAATCAGTGCTATCACTGGTTAACCGCTTGAATGCCTGTATAAGAGACACAATAGAAAATACATTGTGTCTCGCGTGGATTCTCGTTTAGACATACATGCAAAATATAATCGTTTACCATACATACATAACATCACGCCTTTTATCCCCGAAGGGGTAGGCAGAGGTGTACATTATGCCACTGTATAATGTAACACCCACTTTTCACTATTTATGTTATGAGTCCCATGTAATAGGGGGTGAGCCTATTGTTATGTACCGGGCACAATTCCAGACTCCGTGCTACCACTGTGTATTTTTCAAAAAACCCAGTAATACTTTGCTCGACCCGGGAATCGAACTCGAGACCCCTTGCCCGGCAGTCGCACTTGCGACCACTCGGCCAATGGGGCAGTCGTATAAACAATAATCGTTTACCATTCCTACTAATACATACGCATTCATGTCTCAACGCAGAATAAAATTGTGTGTTGACTTAGTCTCAAGGGGCCAAAAAGAAACTGTTCAACACCGTAGCTTAGTAAGATCATAATCTTACTTTTGCATCCATATTTATGGGTACATCTGGCGCTTAAACGACGTCGTTGTATGACCCTGGATATATTCCAGTATCTATGAAATGAGGATTTTATGATAGAAAACCTCAATAAAACTTCTTCCAAACCGACTAACTCATGGGCACTCTGGCCAGTCGCACTAACATCAAAGAGCAATAAAAATAAAATTGCATATAAAAAGTATGTTTATAAATCAGTTCAAACGCTTCCTTATAGTCGTGCTGTACATAAACGACCAAGCTAGGTTACCTACATAGAATATGCATTAACATTAATAAGTCTGTATATGTTTATGGATTGACAGACTTTCACCAATTATCAAGCTACTTTGAGCTCAAAATAAGTGTATTTCGGTACATTTTTTGATGGCAGGAACTGAATAACACCAGTTACAGAAAAAATTCTACTATCTTAAGTTTCCATTACACGCATGTATTTGAGTAATCTAATCAAACAAGCATATCGGTTAAAACAGCTTCGCAACTGACCTTTTTTGAAATGAATCTCCATTAGAACTAGCTAAATAGTGGGTAAATATTGCACTAGACAGAATGAAAGTCATTGGCCCCATTTGTTCTCATAAGGTGCCAACGACTGCGATATTATAAATGACGCGTGTATGTCTTTTTATATATGTGTAATTTCCGGTGTATCGTTTAAGTACATGATACTAACTAAGTACCTAAACTTCTAAAGAACAGCAATTTAAAGTTAGTTTTAAATGCTATCTCATTTTCTACGTTGACAATTAAACTTAAACTTAGTGTCACTAGGTATTTGAACCTTTTTTACCTGTGGGATACAGATCAACAATACAAACCAACAGACAGGTCACACGATGGTATGATAGCCCCATAATCTAAATCTATAGACCTGAGGACCCTGTAGAGTAGTTAAGTGAACGGCTGGTCTTACAAGTGTGATTTTAACAACTTACACGGCGTCTGGAATAGCACAGACTCGCTTCTGGCGAAATACAAATGCACTAAGAACAACTCAGACTGAGAATAGAAAATAGGCGTGACGTTTACGTGCCATTGTGACCATCTATTTGTGCACAATACCACGTTAAATAAAAAATGAAAAAACTAATTCATGTGTATTGTGTAATACAAATAAAATCTTTTTGTTTTTTTCAGGTGGAGTGTGTAGTATCGGGTATGCATTTGAATATGAGTGGCAAGAAATACATCGCTATCGGAACTGTACCGTTGGTCGGTATGGTCGGCCAAGTGGCGCCCTCTGCACCACTGCCAAGTAACGCTGAAACTGGAGAGACGAGTCCGGGCTCGCCTAGCCAACCAGCTGTGTTGCCCGTCAGTCCTGGATCGCCTATGGTAAGAGTCCAATTAATGTTTTACAGTATACAAAAGTTAAAGCGTTTTATCCGGCCCAGTGACGTTTCAATAATAGGGGCTATTATGACTGATTCATGAACTGCGTAGACAACTGAGAGACATCGACTTACTGAAGTAAAAAATTGCTGGTTGTAGAAAGCTAAAAAACGTGTTAGAGAGTATAAAGATCACTAAAAGAGGATTTCCCGGAATTCCTTGCGTAACCAACATAATAAGATTTTCACGATGAATTCAGTGGCAAAAGCTAGTATAAATATACAAGCTGAGATACATTTTCACTTACGCAAGGCTACGCAATCTGACTCCTACTCATTAGTCACTCTAAGATGTCACAATTACAATGTGATTGACATCTCGAACACATTTCACAGTGATAAATGTATTTTAGGCTTATTTTTTCTGATTTGTTTTGTTTTCTGTGGACTATTTCTTGAAAGTGCTTTTTTAAATGAATTGTAATATTATAGTCTCCTATTTTAACTACGTCAGAGTGCAAACGTGTAGATAATTCATGTTTTGATGACGCTTGTAATCTACTTATGATCCCGAAACTTACAGCAGCAGTGAAAAATTGACTTATTTTTCATTTACCTAAAATGTATTTTTTTTCCTATCCAGATGCCTTCAGCTCCAGGCGGTGAAGCTGCTCCTGGAGGCTGGGTGATGCCGGGAGCACAACCCGTGCAGCCGCCATACCAAACATTGTATCCGACTTTAAGTAAGTAAACTCAATTGGGTAGTTTCCAGGGTATCAAAATTGAAAATTAGTCCGTCCGTCAGTTAGATAATGAAAAAATATTAGACACGTATTTTTTATTGTCTCGTATTTAGATGCAATCTTTGATAAAATGGCGCTAAGTTTAGGAGTGGGAGATGGTTACGTCATAACGTGCTACAAAATGTGACACGCTGTGACGTCACACTATATTTCAAATTAGTTTATCGTCGAAAGTATTTAATTTTGTGGAGAAAGGAAAAATACGTGTTCAATGTTTTAAATTAATGTACCAGACGGACATTAAAATAAAATTTAGGAAACTACCCTATTTTATGTTGTTTCGATGATAATAAATGATAGTTTAACTGGTAACTTCTTAGCAACTGAAATTGTTGTGAGACTAAGTCATTAATATTGTGTATTAGACCATCGCTTACTATGCACGTGTTTGGGGATCACAGGATTATGTTTTAATCATGTCTACGTGTCTGTTATTGGATGAACCCCTATAGATTTAGGGATCCATGTTGTACTACAATAAATTGTCTCAACACTAGAAAAAATCTAAGTTCTCTAGTAATTTTACTTAAAATGTTGTATTCCAGTAAACAATAACATTGAAAGTTTTAGCGCAGTTTATTAATATTGTTCATATAACATAACATCACGCCTATTATCCTCGGAAGGGTAGGCAGAGGTGCACATTACGGCACTTAAATGCCACTGTACAATGTAACACCCACTTTTCACTATTTATGTTATGTGTCCCATATAATAAGGGGCCTATAGCCATATACCGGGCACAATTCCAGACTCCGTGCTACTACTATTCTTAAAAAAACCAGTAATACTATACCCGACCTGGGAATCGAACCCGAGACCCGACATCGCCCAGCAGTCGCACTTGCGAACATTCGGCCAACGAGGCAGTCTTAATTGTTCTTAATGCTGTTAATTTAATAATACCAGAGTAATTCTTAACTTTATACTCACCAACACCATTTCTTTTACAGCTACACCAGTCTACAAGGAATCTCCATACCAAGCGCGCACAATCCAGGAGAGGGGAGAATCAAATCACATGTTGATCAGAGGTCAAAGTAACTTCGCTCCTTACTATCCTACTTACGCTGCTGTCCAACCTCCGCCATTACCTCAGTAAAAGATCTGATTGCAATCTTTTTAATAACGTGCATTTTATAAACATTTAATATTATATTGAGATGTTTTCTTGTAGTCAAAAATAGTAAAAAAATTTTATTACTTTGAAATACTCGAAAATAATCTCTCTTTTTGTAATTGTTTTGATGATATACTTAAATGTGTGTTTTCTAGCTAGAAAACACACAAATAAGCTTAAATAAGCTTATTTACGAGAAATTATGTATGTTCGTTGATATAAAAGTATGTGATAATGCAAAATCTCGTAGAAAATTCATCTAAAAATGACGTTTTTTCATATTTTTTGTTTGTATTGAATTTGACTATTTAGAAACGTCTCTGTTATAAGCAACATTTACAAATATTTATATATAAGTAATATATTCTTAATTATAAGCTTATAACGCCTTTTGGCATTGTCCGTGTAGTTAGGTTGTGATACTAACGCTGATGTTACGGAATAAAGAACGCTATGTTGCTAGGCGTAATAAGGCAATTTGATGAATTTTTCAAAACTATTTAAGGTTTAAATTGGCTTCGTATTTGCAAAACATTTGCGTAGCATTCGGTATGTGTCAAGTAGTAGTAAAGCGGTAGGTATGCTTGTATTAATTAATTCGAGCCTTTATTCAATTTTGTAACTTTTTCTTATGCATCAATAACTAGAAAGCGAGATCGTTTCTCATGTTTTGATTGGAATGTTTTTGGACTGAAATGACAAAGTATTAAAAAAAACAATTTGAATTAAGATGTAATATTTAAGTGTAATCGCACAATTTTTCTTTTATAATACGAGTATTAAATGCTACCTTTTTAGGTAATCAAATTCGTCTCTGAATTTAGATTCAAAGAACCTTGATCGTCATAATTAAATATGAGCTTATCGAAAATAGAATTTAATAAAACGAAGTAGGCAGCTTTTTATTGAAATTAGGTATTCATAATAAGGAGTATCATTCCGTAAATTCTGTTTCCTAACTGGCCTATAAAGAGCTTTAAGACAGTGCCAACTAATATTTTGCATTATAAAATGATTCTTATAGACATATTTTGTGGAACCACATTGTATATGATATTGTTTTTGTAATCTCGTTTTATTTTCAAAGTTTAATTTTGTTAACAATAATATAATTTACATAATACATATTAAATGCTATTTATCTGTAAGTTGGTCACATTTTGTATTCCTCTATTAACCCTACAACAATGAAGATATTGATATTGTTGATTATGTAACGATTTATTATGTTTATACAAATAAATTTGCATTATATTATTGACGTTTTTTTATTTAATTTTCTTCACAAATCAGTTATTAGCAGAGTTAAATATAAAAAGTATACGAGAAATGCAAAAAAAGAAAGAGACACTATATTTGAGACATAGGCACTTGTTGATTGAGCCATAAGTAGTTTTTTTTCAGGGGGGAAAATCATCGAATGATTGTTCCCGCCTGGGTGAGGCGGAAGGGAGTGTCAGACTCTTACTGACTAAAAACCACCCCGTTTCTTCTCCTGCACGTCGAGCCGGAGCCCCGGCAGCCAGTTGGTTCTCCGCGACTCCGAAGAGTACCCTTAAGCCTAGAATGGAGTTGTTTCTTTAACGTTTGTCAATGACAGTATAAATGGGCATTTTTGAGGTTGCCATTCCCACCGTCCTTGAAAAAGCTAATATGCCTTTTAGGCTTTTATGGTGTATATGCGCGGGGATCACGACTTTTCCTTTATTTTTGAGCTAGGACCTCTAGCTGTCGAGATATTGCAAGATTTTCCGTCGGACTGCGACAGGATCGGTCCTACACAAAACTGTCCTCGAAAGTTGTTGGTATACGTCAGTTATGTATATGTCATACATAACTGACGAATACTAACAACTTTTGTGTTATGACACAAGAGGGCCCTTAAAAGGCAAGGGTTATTCCCAACCTGTTCTTGAATTAGCGAATTTTCCAAAAATTTTGAGATAGTACTGATATTGCATGATTTTCCAGTGGACTAGGAGAGGATCGGTCTCATACAAATTGTTCTCGAAAGTTTCGGTATTTTTTCAAAACCAAGGCCAATCCCAGCCTGTTCTTCAATAAACTTAGATCTAAGATTTACGGTGAAACTTTGTTCAACATGGAAAAACGGAAGTTATAGTTATGTGGGTACTGGGTAGTATACTTATAAAGAAAAGAAATGATATTTATGACATTCTTTATTGATTTTCCTTCACAAACAAAAATGTACGTAACTATCTAAGACAGTTCATTATTAACATAATAACAGGTAATATAATACAACAGAAATAGACAAAGAATCTTATTCCACAGTACTTGTTTCCAATACTATAAACTCATAATGAAGACATTTGATTAGCAAGTCTATAACAGTTTTTAGACAATACAAATATGATAAATAAACAAATAAAGAATTTTGAGGAATGTTTGGTTAAGAGCTTTGTATTCACAAATATCAAAGAAATTCCTGGATAATTAAAAGCGTAATAATTTACAGCTAATTTTACAATTTGTACATATAACAGCCATAATTATGTTTTAGGAGTTCACTCCAGGTGTTAAGAGTAGTTCAGTCCAAAAAGACAGGAGATAGTTGTATGGGAAGGAAAAACAATATAGCCCCGTTTAACATTGATATTGTTTGTCTAACATGTAGATCTGACACTGTTTGATATCGTCAATGATAATGAAGTTATATATGAAGATGTGAATTTCCCTATGACGAAAACAAACCATTACTACAAATAACTGTGTGTCGCCTAATAAATAATAAATCTTGACTAACTGGCTTAACTTTTCCAAAGTTTTATAATGTTAAATAAAAAAATGAATTTAAAATTCTACCATGCGAACTGAGATGGTAATTACTTCGTGTACAGAAATTTTTGTACGTCGCGATTCGCTAATACACGTAGAAACGAGAAAACAAGCCTTCTTATGCTCAAATAAAAATTAAATTCTTTAAAGAATTAGTACATATACTAATGAATGTGACTTATCGATTTTAACACCAAATAAGTAGCGTATTTTTTTCCAATGTAGAATTCTAATATTTTCATAGGACATTGCTTTTACATATGTTTGACATAATTAGCTATCCCATTTTGTTTAGTGTAAAATTACATTGTTAAAGCTATCAGAATTATATTCTAGCCACTGTGATTTATCTTCGAGACATCTTTGTCTACTCGTTTCTATTTGTTCCGTGGTAACGCGTGAAATAATTATAGGATAGCAACAAGTTTATAGTAATGTCGATTTTTGGTGCATACGTGTCTAATGAAATTAGATTATTAATTTACGTTACTACCAATTCGGTCAAAGAACCGGCTTTATTTTGATTAAACCCTTGCCGTAATATCGGTGTTTTAGTTTCAACATCCTATAAAATTTGTATCCCTGTAATGGAACGGTTACATTTTACTTTTGACAACGATACTTGTTGTCCAAGTATGCTCCGCGCGTGACACAATTTCTAAGTTTGAGTTTTCACTCTTCAATACGGTCGATGGGCGAAGACTAACAAAGTCGCGGTCGGATTCCGCCGCCGGCGCAACCGATTCAACCCCGCGGTCGCAACGCACTACGGGGAAGCCTCTGTCTGTCTCTACACCCGAGTTGAGATTGTCGTCGGTCAGGTGTCGGTGCGCATCGGCGTCTGTCGTCAGTACCGTGGATCTCCACCCCGGAGGAGTGAGGTCGGCTGTTGCGGCGCGGCCCGCGGCGGTCCGCCCGGCGCTCTCAGTACTGGCTGCAGCGCGCTCGGAACCCGCCCTGGTACGTGGAGTCCTGCGACAACAGCCCGTCGGGCTGCGACGGACAGTCGGGCGCCGCCGACTCCTGGCTGAAGTCCGGCTGCGAGGCGCCCTGCGACAGCGACAGCGGCGGCTGCTGCGACAGCGGCTCCTGGCTCAGGCGTGGCGGGCGGCGGCGCGCGGGCCGCTCATGCTAGAAGCGCGGCGCGCGCAGGCCGCGGTGCGCGGAGAAGGCGGCGGCCGGCACCGGCGCGTGCAGCAGCGCGGCGCGCTCGGGGCCCACGTACGCCAGTGGGTCACGCAGCGCGCGCGCGCGATCGTACACGGAGCCTGGCACTAACGCCTCGCGCGCGTCGAACATAGACGTCGACATGAAGTGCGAGCCCGGGTTTTGCGCGTTCACCAACTTCTTTGGCTTCGCGAATTGAATGGCGGACTCTTTCAGGTTCGAGAGCGGGCCCTCGGTTAGGACACGACGTTCCTTGTAGAAAGCTAACAGATGATTCCATAGTGGCTGTTTACTCAACACTTTCGGGTTGCCGACTACTATGAGTCCGTACTTAGCGCGTGTTAGGGCTACGTTAAGACGACGTGGATCGCTCAAGAAACCAATCCCTTGATGCTCGTTGGAACGGACGCAAGACATGATAATTATATCTTTTTCTCGGCCTTGGAAAGCGTCTACACTAGCTACTTCAATCTCCTGGTAGAGTTTGGCATGCAAGCTTCCTTGATACTGCATGTGTTGGACGAGGTATGATCGTTGACCCTCGTACGGAGTAATGATACCAATCTGTTCGGGTCGCACTCCCGCTTTCAAAAACCGTGTAGTGAGTTTTTCCACATTAGCAGCTTCAGTTCTGTTCAAGTAGGATGTTCCAGAACCAGCAATTTCTTCTTGTCCTTGTGTTACGTAGAAGAACATTGGGCGATCGGGTCTCGGCCAAGGGAAGTCAATTTTATGCAAACGACGTTCTTCAGCACTAACTCCATTTTGAAGAGAACCTTCATAGAAGAAGTCAGAAGGGAAACGTGACAGTTCAGGATGCATCCGATATTGGACTTCAAGACGGAATGGACGGATACCCAGGACGACTAAACGTTCGAAAAGACTTTGGCTGAGGCCAGCCTTGGCTGCTTTCTTGCACATGACCACGGGACCCAGCTGGCAGTGGTCTCCCACGAGGATCAGTTGTCGGGCGCCCAGTACTACGGGCACCATACACTCGGGCTCGGTGGACTGCATGCCCTCGTCTATGAGTATGGACTGGAAGCGCATGCGTGCGACTCTCGGGTCGCCTGCACCCACACACGTGGTGCAGACGACGTCGGCGGCGTCCAGCAGACGTCGCTCAGCAGCGCGGCGCAGTGCGCGGTATCTCCTCTCGTCGGCTGCAGACAGCTCTCCAGCTTCTTCCTTCAATCTAGTCAACTTCCTGAGCTCGCTGTCAGCTGAGCCTAAGGCCCTAGCTTGCTCGTGGAGTGCCAAAAATGACACCGACGACTCCATAGCTTCTCGAGACTTGGCGCAAAGTCTGACGACCTTGAGGCCAGTTCTATGGATCTTCTCAGTGAGCTGGTCGACGGCGGTGTTGGACGGAGCGCAGACGAGTACTGGGCCACTGTTCTGTCTCACCAGTTGGTATACAATCGTGGCAGACGTCACGGTTTTTCCCGTACCGGGCGGGCCTTGAATTAGGGACAGTGGACGCTGTAGCGCATGCTTAACTGCATAGACCTGTAAAACAAGGTAAGGTTAGAAATTTGCAGCATGCATGATTTTCTACTAACTAGTTTCAACTATGAAAAGTATAATTACCTGAGAACGATTAAGGTCAGGCAAGTTGGGAGCACTGAAGTGCTTCGGCAAGTGAACGCGGAACAAAACCTCTTCCACTTCGTGTCCTAGCAGGCGACGATATATGTAGCCAGACACAGAGGAGTCGTCCACAGCGAACTTACGCAAAGCGAGTTGCATCCTAAAACCAGATTATTAGATTACATTAGATAAAAATTACGTAAATAAAACGGTAATTTTATTATAGATATTATAGAGATAATCACAAAATATATGAAGAATATTATGTCTATTCACTGACCTGTCAAAAGAAGTACTTTTCCAGATGAAGTCTACAACAAAGTTGGAAGTGCAATCGAGCGGTGCGCCGGCGCCGCTCTTCAGTTCAAGGCCGACGTCATCGCCATAGTTGTCCGGCACCTTGATCACGTGGCCAACACCTGACCACGCTTTATGTAGCTCACCTACATATCTGAAATGGATATGATTTCATTAGCAACTAATATTTTTTTCAAAATACTCCATTCTCAAATGGATGTTTTATGATTAAGGTTTTTTTTTTCATTTTAACTCATTATTCTTGATAGAAAAATTATGCAAAAGTTTGTCAAAATTAGTCCACAGTGTTTTATTTCAGTTAACACATAGATGGCAACTTTCGCAATATCCAAATAGA